AGCAGCCCCGGCAAAAACCATCCCCGACTTGGTTTCCTTTAGGGGAACCTAGGCTCACTCCCAACACGCGAAAGGTCATTCCCTACTGAGAACCACCAAGATTGCAGTTGACCCCAGTGCGTCCGTTCCTTGTGTCGTTTCCTTGCACCGTTGCAACTTATTGATAGGGGCTCATGCTAACCATTGGCTTCAATCCTTCTCTTTGGAAACCCGGTTTGCATGTCGACCCACTTTCTGAAGGGAAGGATCCAAGAGAATTGGGAAGCTGCGTCAGCTTCATTTCATCATTTCATTGCCTCACAACGCGGCATTGCGTCATCTCAGCTGCAAAGGGTTGACTGCCAAAAAGAAGATGAGCACAATGGAGCATTTAGTTGAACAAACAAACTTGAGCTGCTACTGCAAGTTTGAGTGTCAAAACCACCTAAAGGAACGCGACGGTTGGCCAAGCACGAAAAAGCTACCCTCCCTCGCAACTCTGGGAGGGTACCCGGAGCATCAATTTCCTCTTGGAGGGGCCAGGTCCCTTTTTTGGTGCCAGGGCAACGTGGAAGGAAGGGTATCCTTTTTCAAGGAAAGTCGTGCTCCAAAATCCCGCGATCGTCAGCTTCCACAAAGCTACCAGGGCTCCTCAAAGAATACGTCCCCAAATTACAAGGACGACCAACTACAACAGCTGGTTGTTGGGAGTGTTTTGCTTTTGTGTCTTCCCTGGCCCGTTTTGCTCCTTGTCGCTGCGCCGAACCCACCGAACCATCGAGGCCAAGGTATCCATGGCCTCCTTCATGATGAGCGTCAGGATGTCCACGATGGTCTCCATCCTTTTCGGGGCGAAACTGCAATGGCCGGAGCTTCGCAGAAAGGGTGGATGTTTTCAGGAACCCAAGAAGTGAAAATAGGGATTTTTAACGAAACAAAAACAGAAAAGAGCTTCCCAGAAAAAGGGTGGATGTGTTCAGGATTAGAAGTGAATTTAGGGATGTGGCCGAAAAGCAAATGCGCGGGTGTTTATGTTGGTGTCCTTTTGGTTTCCCTTTAAACAACAACCAAAAGGGAACCACCACTTAGAGCAAAACTTTCAAGCTACACTTAAATGGGTGCGCCTTCGAGGCTTGGTTCCCTTTGGTTTGAAGGGAAACTACAAGGAACACCTTATTTCCTCGGGACATCCCCAATGGGCGAAGCGCCACCCTGACCTGTTTGAACTCCATGGTTTGCTGACTTCAAAAGGGGAAATTGCACAAAAAAGCCGCTGGCCAGTTGCAGCTGGGGTCCTCTGACCTTGCTCCTTGCTCGGGTTGGGGGGTTGGATCCTAAAGGGTGACATTGGGTTCAAGAAACTCCTGGGAAGTCAGTTCGAGGGGAGGAATCGGCAATGAGAAGGACCGCTTGAGGCAATGGCCTTGGATTGCCACGAGTCGATTTCGGTTGTGCGGGTTGGATTCCGTCGGCCTTGAAAAACCAACTGTAGCAGATCCATTGGTAGCGGCACATTCTCGTAACCAGCTTCGGTCTCGCGCTGGGAAGGCGAGGGGCCGATCTACTATTGACAAGCTGAGCCATCTCCCAAATCCCGTTAACCTGCTTGCATGTCACATAGGGTGTCGGGCGGAATCATTTCGTGCGTGTGTGCTGCTTGGGAAGCAGCCGCCTTCACGAAGGGGGAGAAAAAGGAGCCAAACCGAGACGGGGGGAGTGGGCTATATCCGGTGGTTCGCCAGAAACCCTCCGAATTGTTTGGGATCCCTGACCCCGGGGTAATCAAGTAAGCAACAATATGAGAATCCTCTGCGTGACGATTTAATCATTAATTTGTATTCAGCGGTTCCATGTAACTGTCTAACCGACAGAGCTCATGGGGAGCTGGTAAGTTGGATGGCTCAACTCCCGGACGTGGGTAACAAATGACCAAACCCAAATGGATTAAACAATTGAATTCGCCATCTACTTTCATCCAACTGTAAGGATTATATTGGGAGAGTCTGAGTCGGTTTGAAGAAATCTAAAAATGCTAGGAAATTTTGGCAGCCATCTCCAACATAGAAATTGCGGGCATCCAACCTATGAACGCCGAGGCCGGTTCCTATCCAAAGCCCCAAGGGCTATGGTCGCAGTTCTTTGAAAACTGTTGGACAAAGGCCGACATTGGGGCGCCATGGAAACAATTGACAAACAAATCCGGTAGTGCATTCGATTCCCTTTAAAATCAACAGGGAAAAATAACACATACTGTGGATGGACAAAACCCACTTCGTACCAGTTGATAGATGGTTCATCCCACGATTTTTTAGAGTTGATTGCTTCATCCAGCCTAACTGGTGCAGGATTCTGTCCATCCACAGTATGGGTTCCCAAGAGAACCTCTACAAACTGCGTACTCCTGCGTTGTTCGTCCAATTGAAAAAAAAAAAAAGATATAATATTTTTAGAGGTATGAGATTCCCTTTGAACCCAACAGGAGAAACAAACAAAGTCCTGACATGCAAATGGAAGATGTGCATTTTGACTTGCGGAAGGTGGGACCTGGGATCCCTGCAGGCATGGAGCAGAATCATCACCCCAACGGGAAACGCACTTCTCATTTGCCCCAGAGGTGATGTTGAAATCACCTCACTTCCGCGGATTACTGGTCCAGGCTTCTTTTTAACCACTGAAAAGATCTTCCCGAGTGAGAAAAGACGATCCAGAAACTACGGAGAAGTGAGCAAAGGTCGTAAAGGTTGACACACACACACACACACACACACTCCCTGCCCCACCCCCCATGACCCCTCGCGTCCCATTCAAACATCACCCCACCCAAAGTGGGGAAGTGGAGCCCAAGGGAAGCGTCAGGATGCCTTCAACTGGTTCCACGTGGGCCCCAAAGTGGTGGTTCAAGTTTAAAACTTAAAACTCAAACAAACAGGTACTGAGGGCCTGGCGCGCCCTCTCTGCACAGGGTGTTCTGGGCATCTCGGTGTGCCTTCACCCGCACCTGAGCACATCGAGCCGTTGGGAGAGGTGTGATCTGGCGACCAGTGATTTTTGGTTCGATCACAAATGGGGTTAGGATGCTACATGGGTTTGTCTTAAAGCAAGAGACTCCCCAAAATGTCCTTTTAAGAAGTAACCTCTAATGAAAGTCAATGGGTCCCGCAAAAGAAAGTCCGCACAGGCTGCCCACATGACCGGGCCCTTGTGTACATGTCTGAACTCGCGACCCGAATGCTTCATTCGTGAAAAGGAGCGAATTAGTCGGAAACGGCAATTTGATTTGGCTTGCTCTAGTGAAACTGCTCTTGTGAGTCCACCCTTTAGGAGCCAGGGATAAAAGCAAAGGAGGCTTGAGGGAGCGTCAGGGGGGGTTACGTTCTATACTAGGCCCTGGTATGGGGTATTCAGGAGATCTCTGTGTATCGCCAGCCACCAGTTTCCGTCACAAGCTCCTGGTTCTCTTAGCCTTTGAAGGGGGCCATCTGCTTCACCAGTGCCCAACCCCGTCTTCAAGCCTCCCGGCTTTCAGTTCCCTGCGGGGCACAGTGAAAGATCTAACCGCTTACATCCGACATCCCCTTGATTGATCTACAGCTTTGGCAATCCTGGCTCCCATGACTCTTGAAACCGGGCTTGAACCGGGGAACTCCTTCCAAGGGTCCCGCTTTAAACGTGATGGGTCGATGTACCTTGAGAAACTGTCCGTTTGCCACTACAACGGTCCAACCCCCAAAAGTGACTAAAGTCCCGGAGAACTCACGGAGTGAGATCCCTGAAGAACCCAGTAGTGTTTCAGCCCTACCCCCTCCGAGACCCGCGGAGATGCGCTAAGTGCCAGACCGGCATCAGGTCCCCGGACGTGGCCGCCGTGCAGGAGCCTCGCTGCGGGCTAAGGTCAGGGCCGGGAGCTCGGATGTTCCGGGTCGCCTTTGCCACCTGTGGGCCATGGTCCTGGTTCACTTCACAGGACTTTCCAACCCAAACGGTATGGGCCAGCTTTGCAGCCATCAAGGATTCAAACCTTACCAAGGGTTCATTTGGCTATTGCTGGAATATTGAATATCCATTAGATATCAAATAAAGAATTGCCTATGCTACCTGGACACAAGAAGCATTTCGATATAGCGATATCCGCTTGGATTTGATGTTATTTTTGTGGTATCCAAATATAAGAATTACTATGACTAAGTCAAGTACTGATGCATTGAACGTGTTTAATACTGTTGGTTTGTATCAGACTTGTGCTTGTGTTGTTTGTAGGTATTTTGTTTATTGCACATACAAAAAGCGGGTTGTGTATCTTATCCTCGATTCCTGTTTTCATCTGTTTCTTCAACACGTATCTTGGCACATATACGTGTAGCCTTTTCCATTTGTTTTTTGTTTTGTTTGCAACCCCTTACTTAAAAGGAACGAAAGCAAACAAACAAAAAACCTGGAAACTTGCCGACAACAGTGAAGAGGAATCCTGCAATGGTCGTCTAAAGCGTGAATATGTGGGGGGAGATTTGCCACAATCAAAACTTGCCATTGAACGGTCTGCCCAAAACCTATGGTAAAGAGTCAAAAAGGGCAAATGGGGGTTGAACAATTTTCCTGGCACCAAAATGACCATGGATCATTTTTCCATTAAGTGGTGAAAGTCATCTTTTTGTTCCCCAATGGTCAGCCCATGAAAAGGGCCGGTTGATCAACCCCAAAATATCAATATCCACTGAGAATCAAAGTCTGCATCCACATTCTCACAGGAACATGGAGATAAGCAGGAGCCTTTTTAATGTGGGTGTTTCTCAAAATGTGGGACCACTCCAAGAAGGTGATGTCCTTTTACTCTCCTCTTAGAGAACCATCAAACATGGGTCTGCTATTTGAGATTTGAGACACATCTGGGCTGTCCCAACTGATCCCCTGCTAAAAGTCGAACAACTTTCAGCGGATGACACTCTGACACCCAACCACTAAACCGGACGGCGAACCGCCATGACCATAGATGACCTTTTGGAAAGTAGATGGCCCTGGTAAATGGAACACAACTCATTCAATCCAGCGCCATCAAATTCTAATCGAACTAAGCTAAAAAGGACACCTGTGCCCAAGACATGTGGACTCCACCGCGACACGTTTACCTCAGTTGTCTCTCTCTCGCTCTCTCTCCGCTCCGGGGAGCCATGCAGAGATGGCCGATGAGGAGGCAGCCCGCCTCCGCCACTTCTGGGCCTCGGGTTCTCCAAATGGGTCGTCCGCCTTCTGGGGACCCGCCCACTCTTGGGGTACACGCGTGTGTTTCTTTGGAACCCCCCCCACCCTGCAACCAAAACAGAGTGCTGGTGTGTTGGTTTACCTTTGAATCCTACCAAAACGGGGTAAACCCTCAAGCTGGTTTCAAGGGAAACCAAAAGGAAAGTAACCCGTTTTAGGGGGTCCAGCATGTTGAGACAAACCTGTCCAAAACTAGGGGCACCACGAAACATGGTCGATTTGCTTTTGAAATGCAGACATGTACCACCCGAAATGTGTGCCCAGAAACACCCCCGCAATATAACTAAAAAATACTCCAGAAACCTTGAAAGCGATCCAGCACATGGCCAAAACCATGCCCAACTCCGCACAAACATCCCCCCAAGACCCCTTCTTAACTGCAGTGCGGGTGAACACTTTTGAGTTGTTTAATTCACAGGGCCTCACTGGAAGGACCGTACCCGGTACCATGCGCAACAGAAACCTTGATACACCGAAACAGGACTCTGAGGGGAAATGGGTATGGTTTTCAATCGGGGCCCTTTGGTAGACTTGCGACATAGCTGGATTCATGTCCACAAACCGTATTTGGAACTGTCTTTTTTTGAGCTGGTACCCCTTTTTGGTTGGTGTTTGCACGGAAGCCAAAAGGTAACGCGCATTTTTTTGCAGGTTCCTTTAAAAACAAAAAAACAAACAACTATGGGGTAACAAGTGTTGTCGGGTGACTGACGGTGCTAACATACCACATGTTCCGTTGCCCACATCTAAGGTACACAGAAAGCAACATGTGTGTTTGGGAGGTTCCCCAATTTGGAGACACATCCATATCTTCTGCCCCTGGGACCAACCCAAATGCTGCGCTTCATAAGGGCTTGTAGCTCCCATCCTCATCCTTCTCATCCGAGGCGAAGACCGCCACAGAGTGCCACTATTTCCTTGTGAGCGCCTTCACAGTGTCAGCATCGCAATGCACTTCACCACCTGAACCTTGAGATGGCTTAAGGACTCTGTCTCAACTTCTCCAGGATAGCATTCTGCGCCTCCTCCACAGCTGCCTCTGGATCAGCGCTCTTGTTCAAAATGGGGACCGCAAAGATTGGCTTCGGTTTCCTTTTGGTGTCTCCTTAAACCACCCCAAAAAGGGGACCCTCCCAAAAACAAACATAGAACCTGCACAGGAACCGGTTCCTGGGAGACCATGCCCCTTTCAAGGGGACCGTTTTCTGCACAGGGTCCATGTTTTTGGGACACCCTCGAAAAACAGATTCCTCTTGGTTCCCTTTAAAAAGCCTCTACCCTCACTCCAACAATCATGGAACTTGGCGATCGGGTGTTGGAAGACTACTTTCCTTGCGGGAGCCCCCCTGTCCACTTCCATGCTTGATGGAAAGACTGCCCTCCAGTCGTTGCCAGCCCAGTTACAGGAACATGGTCCAAACCATGTTCCCCCCGCTTGTGAAGCTTCAAATTCAAAACCGTAAAGCAAACGACGCACCTTGAAAAGCCAATGGACACCCCCCCTAAACCCTAAAAAAGCTAAAATCCTGAGGAACCTGACGCCCGGGAACAACCAAGTGAAAGAAACAGAAGAAAAGACACACCCAGCTGGACCCTCCCGTTGCTCAAGTTGTCTTGGCCGACACGAGCTCCGGGCTGGCAACGTGGCGCTCCATGGAGCGCATCACCAGCTTCAGGTTGTCCAGGTTGTCCCGCTGGAATGCCTGCGTGCTTTTACACCAAGCCTCCGGCTGTCTAAAAAAAACGTGTATTTGTTCAGAAAAAAACAAACACAAAAAATGTGTGTTTCCGCCCCCCCGGCGGAGGCACCCCAAACACACAAAATGGGACTATGAACCTCGTAAACCCTAATCACCTAATCCTGAGGGCCTATCACCCTGTATAAGCTTGTTTGAGGCAGCCAAGTGGGTTCCTTTGATTTTGATTTTGCATTGAAACCGTTCGAAATGGATTCGTATTTTAAAAACCGCTTGGTTGTTCACTGTCGTGGGGATATCCCTTGGAAGGCAAAGGTTGGCCACCCACTTCAGCGACCCTTGTTCCCTTGTTGTCCGATTGGCGCCTCTCTGAAAATCACCGGAAACCACTTCCTTCCGGACAAAACGCATGAAACAAACATCCTCAGATCCCTGGCTTGGCCCTCAAAACTCTTGTTTCCCAGTAAACTGCCCAGAGCAAAACGCTAGTTCCACATCAGCTCCCGCTTGCCTCGGACGCCAGCGGCGCGTTCTCCACACTAGCTGCCAGCAGCCGGACCTTAAGCTG